ATAAGGCATTATACATCTAAATTCATATTAATTTTCTTGATTGTTTAATTGAATACATTCTATGTGTTTTGCCTAAAGCATCATAATAACAAATATTTGTTTTGTACATGATTGAGATACATGATTAGATCATAATTTTAAGTCAAGAAAATTGTTTAATAAAAATATTGAAATAAGTTTCCCCCGATAGGGAAAATATTATTTCTTTATATTAGTAATTACAGTATATAGCATAATATTACTTTAATTAATATGTTTAAAATTTTTTGTAACATGTTCATTTTGGGAACTAATATTTCAAGCACAACTTGATAGGCGTATGATTACACATTCATCTTAACTCTTGCTAATGTAATTCTAATTTTCACCTTTCTTACCATACTTATTTTATAGTGGCTTATTTTAGTGAGTATCTAATTTTTTCTCTTTTAATATTAATTTGATCTACTCCATATCAAATCACTGCCATCGGGGAGAGGTCAACTCCACGTGTAAATTTTTATGGTAGCAGAAGACCTAGAACTGCTGCCTTGAAAGTAGCAGTCCAACCATTACCCACTCTGCCACTCCACTAGGGCTCCATTAACTAATATATAGACAATAAAATATTAGCAATTATGAATATGTATGTCTTTACTTATATACTATATATGTGTTACATTTAATAATTTTAACCAATTTAATGAGCAGTTTACAGTTCTCATTGCTTGCATTATTTATCAAAAGAAAACATAAACAATGTTTCTAGAAAGAAGTACTTGAAGTAATACTGCTTTCCTTTCTGTTTTATTCTGTGATTGGATGTGCACGTTATTTTACATTGCTTTGCTTCTTACCTTAATAACATACCTTTATTATGTAGACATTCTAAGTACGAAGATATGACAGACCTGTAAGGCTTGTCACATCCCATTTCCTGCAAATAAAAATTGCTGTGCAGTGTTTTGACTTAGGGTGTAGCCTAACTATTTTTGACCTTGAATATAATTACCATGATCACTAATGTGTTTTGTAAGATAGTATTGAGTAGTATTTGGGGATCACAGCCACTATGTCACTATCTTAGACCCCATATAGCCAGGACATGTTACCCCAATTTCAGAATATTCTTTGAGTTGGAATCAACTCAATGGCAGTGAATTTGGTTTTAGAGTAATTGAAAGATAACCGCCCACTTGAATAATCCTCTGGAGATATTAAGCTTGGCAGAATACTGAATAAGCATTTCCTTCTAGCTGATCATTTCTTTTTTTCCCTCCTATCCTTTCTTCTTTAAGGTTGCTTTCTTCCTATTTGTCCTTTCTTTTCTTCTTTCTTTTCTGCTATTATATTTCTAGTCTATCCTTTGTAATCTCTATTTTTCTGTCTCAAATTCATACTTATGCTGTTCTCTTATTATTGTTAAATATGGCTCCTACCCAGATGGAAATATTTGTTCATTAATTTTCATTTATGGAGGTATTTTTTAAATTTTTTATTCATGGAGATCTTTGTTTATTGATTCATACATCCATTACCCACCAGTTCATTTGTTCATGAGTCAATATTTATTAAGAGCCTGCTCCATATTAGTGTGCAAGGAATTGGATAGGAAAGATGAATATCTTTTGTTTTGGCGAGTTTACCACATGCCAGGTACTTTTAAAAGCATGTTTATGTTGTAAGGATATCAATTGGTTAATCTTTACATCAGCCTTACGAATAAGTCCAACTTTTAATCCGTATTTTACTGAAGAAGAACCCAAGATATCGAGTAATTAAGGAGTTGTTCATGGTTACAGTAAATTGAAGAGGTGGAATAAATATACAGGCTTCAGAGCCCTCACATTTAGCTACTTTTATCATGCCTTTTTGTTATTTGGACAATTAATTATGATACAGTGTGGTTTGGCTGTAGGGGGACTTTATGATGTTATTGAGGAAAGGAGCCCCATGACTGGAAAAGAGGTGGGGAGGTGGAGTGAGTCACAGAGGATGTGATATTTGAAAATATCTGTCTTAGTGGTCAACTTTTAAAATTCTTTAAAATAGAAGTGCACCCAGCCATTATTAGACATTAAAACTGCAAAGCACTGAGAGTCGATCATTGAGAGGGTTGTTTTGTCAATAGGTGTAGACTGTAAAATAGATGGGTTAATAATGCTTTTGGGGTCTCCAGAAGGCCCCAGAATATTCAGCAGTTGGCTACTAAAAGAAAGATTGATAGTGTAAATCCTTCTCGGGTACCTCAGAAGAAAGACCTACCCACCTATTTTTGAAGATAACCATTGAAAATCCTTTGGAGCAGTTCTACTCCGAAAGCGTGGGATTGCTATGAATTAGAGTTCATTTGACAGCAACTAGTTTGTTACCTTTAACAGGACTTTTAGGGTAATTCAATAATAGTCATTTGGCCGCTGATGATTGATTAATTTTGAATCCCAACCTTTAGAAAAGTTGTGGTAAAGAGATACGAGTCAGAATCAATAGGGTTTTCTCCATTTAAGTTTCTTTATCTTTAAATACACTACAATAAAATGAAATGGGTACTGAGTTAGGATGCTTCAATTAGGTGTAGATATTATTTGGAAGACTTAGAATTTCATTTGTTAAACACCAGCCTTTTAAAGTAAATGGTTCAGGGTCACTTTTTAGGAAGAATAATCAGATAATCAGAAAGATGTTGCCTCTATTTAGACACAGTTAATGAGTGTTGAAACAAAAGTAAAAGTAGAGCTGTCTATATAATTCTCTTAAGAAATATATGGAAGAGGGAAAACTGCCACTCTCTGACTCCTAAATATGTAAGAGAAAATTTCATTAGTTTATATCTTTGCTGTCATACATCATTCCTCTTAAAAATCTTTGAGTCTGGGAAATCTTCAGAAGATATTTTAAATGGTAATCAGCTTTTTAATATGCATGGTTCAAATCAATTTCTCATTGCACGTACAGTTACACTACTGTGGCTGCGAGAAACTTACCTTTTCCTTTCTCACTTTGCACTGCCACCAGTACGGGTTGATATACGGTGGGATGCAGCTGATATCAGGTGACAAGTTTTCTGCTCAGTTACTAATTATGTAGAAAGATTGATACAAAAATTTTTGATTGTCATAGTCACATAATCTAGGAAATATCATAAGCAATCCACTACTATGTATTTTTTTTAACTTTTTAATTTGAATCCAGTGAAGGTTATCAGAGCAGATAATCAATTTTACATTCAATACTTCATACACATATGGTTTTATCTCATTAATTGCAATCCCTTTGATGTAACATCACTTATCCCACTTCCTTTCCGTTTTGCCTCTTTCCATTTCTCCTTTTTTCTCAACTCTTCCAAACTCTGTCCTTGGGTCAACACTGCCCTTTTGATCTCAAAGGATTGATTATGCTAAGGTCTGCATACTTCTCTAGTGTGATTGTTCCCCTTATAAACCTCTCTGTTGTTCAAGTGGAAATCGGGTCATGGGGGTGCTATATTTATCACATATTATTCTATGAATAAAATTTACAATAAAAATTACTGAGGATTCTGTATGATCTGGTACAAAAGAATGTCTATGGAAGGGGAGTGACACTATGACTTACTACACTGGTGGCATCAGCCCCAGAGACACCATTATTACTTTGTTCAAATATTTATTATGTCATTTTCTCCTTGTTTCTCTCATCAAAAGATGGATAGATCCTTAAAATAGCATTTGAAAAGTTTTCTTGGCTTTTTTTTTTTTTTTTTGCGGGGACAGGCATATTTCACTCTTAGCTAATCTGGAGAATGGTATCACATCACAAATACTCATTCAAAAAATCCTTAAAGATTCAAGATAATACGAAAGTGCAGTCCGAGTAATTGATCCCTGAATATTGCATTATCAGGGAAATTTGATCTCACTCAAAGGTGGTTTTATTTCTACTATTCTCCCGTTTTCCTTTGAACTAATAATACTTACAGACATTAAGCTCAAAGTTAGTGACAGACTTGGCAATTGTAGCAATGTTGCTTCCAAAATTATTTAGAATAGACTATTTCATAAGTGTTTTCAGTCAAAAGCCCATAGAATTTATAAGTGTTAATTTTGTATGCTTTTCAGTTTTTACATTACTTTCTGAAATTTCCATCTTGACTGACTAGACATTTTTGAGAGGTGATACATACAAATCCTCTTTTTTTATATTTCCAGCATATTTTTCTCCAACAAAATTCCCATATTTACCCCCAAGAATATTTTTTGTAATTTTTCCATTTACTTTGAAACATCAGTAACAATACATCAGATATTTAAAATAGTGTTCACAGAGAGAGGAAAAAAGAAAATTTCTAATGTACACGATGGTTCAAGGCACATATTATGAGTCAAAGAACAATCTCAATAGAACAATAACCTTGACCCTATGATAGAAATCTGTATGCTATTTATAGAGTACATCAGCTTTGTTATAAAAAGAAGAGGAAGTTTTGTCACAAATGGAAGCTTCGTTTTCACCTAATCTTGGGTTACTTATAATTACGTATAAAAAATACATCCACAAGCTTTTCGTTCAACTGCTAAGGCACTGGAAAGGCAAAGACACTTTAGAAATGTGCAGTTATTAGCAATAGCCAATCACGATGGACAGGATCACTAACGAGTGTCTTGTAAAAGCATTTTTACAGAATGGGAATACATCGCTTCCCTTTCCACCGTACAAAAAAATCTTTTCATTATCACATGATCCACTGATATCATCATAGCCATACAGTTGTATGTAATGTTTTTAATCCATGAAGACGAATAATGACTGAATGTATAAAAATACTGATAATAGAAAATGGGAATAATGGAAAGTAAAAATAAAGTTAAGATATCTGACTTTCCTTAGAACCATCTAGCGTGCAGATAACAGAAAGAACTTTGTCAAGAGCCAAGGAACATACATGACACGTGAATAGTATGATATTAAAATGACGTGTTTTAATTGTACATGCTTGTCATTGTTTCAGTATCTCAATATGAATTTCTTTCTTTTTTCAGGGTCGGTGCATAAACTTTTCTCGAGTTCCATCTCAGTAAAAGCAAAGCAGGAAAACCAAAAAGGTACTAAGAAGGTGTTACATCTTCACACTGCTAATTTCCCACCAAATGAAATCAGAAAAAGGAAGACATCTCAGAAGATTTTGGAAGAGCAACTTAATCCCTCTTATGCATAAACTCTTTTCTCCGCCTTCCGCTTTGCTTGCAGCAAACATTTCCAAACACGTGTTCTACATAGGAGTCCATAAAACCCAATGCTCACGCATGATTAATGACCTTGAAAATAATGAGGGACCTTGGTCTGCTTGCGATGGCTTCTATAAGAACGTTGATTTCAGTGTGCAGAAGAGGAAGGAGCAGAACAACAATCAGGACATGCACCCGCGGGAAGATGGTATCCAAACAGGGATCTCAAGAAAAGTAGCCAGGATGGGTCTTTAATGGAGAGAGGAGTTTTCTTGCATGGAAACATGGCGCTTGGTTTTACACGACAAGATCATTAGCTCCGGGCAGAGGATAAAATTTCCCACCAGGCTAAGCAAATAAAGGAGTCCCTTGCCTTATAACTAAGTCAGGTCACAAAATCCTCCCAAGTCTCCTATCACAGTGTGCCTTACGGGAAGCTTCTGACTGGAAAATCTTGTCATTTTAACACTGAAAAGTGCACACGCATGACAAAATGTAGACAGGATGCCTCAAGGTATCAGTAGCAAGCAAGATTTTGCCCTTTAGTTTTTGAAGAAACCTTTCTTTCATTATGCACTTGGGACAAGAAGAAAATTAATAGAGCGTTATTCTTCAGAAAGACAGTCCCTACCCAGCGATCTTGAGTGGAGTTTAAGGGACTCATGATTTGCAACTCTGTCCCTGTGACTGGTTGGTTTTCCAATTATGTTGTATGTTGAGGTTTTAGTAGTGCATAAAACATTAATATCTGTAAACATACTTAGGAGTGTGTTTTGTTTTTAATTTAAAGGAAGCCGTAACCACAAAGCTTCCGCTCAGGGTTTTTTATTCTCCAAGTCTCCAAGGGCTCTTCAGCGTCACAAGCCAGCAACTCTCTTTGCATGAAAATTTCAAAGTTTAATTAATATAATTAAAGGCAACAGCAAGCAGCAGCCTGTGAAGATTTTGCTCATCTTTTTTATGCCTTTTGACATTGAATGACCTATTACTGTATGCACATTATTTGGATTTTGAGGGGCACTCCACCTTGGCTATGATTCATAGAGGAAAAAGACTTCTTTTCATCAATTTCTAAATTAAACTTTCAGGAGGATTGGCCATCACAAACATTGGCGATGTATGTATCATAATTTTTCTTTTTTTTTTTTTAGCAAAACACCGCCGTGTCACGTCGGCTATGCCAAATGATGTTAGCATGGGTGGAAATGCTGGGGGTGGGGGGGAGGAAGGCAGCAGCTGAAGGAAAAGCTCAAATGATCTAGTCACTTTCGATCCTGTACTTCAGACGCGAAATGGATATTCGACTCGAAACCTGACAACGAGCGCCTGCTTTGATGGGAACTGGTACAGACAATGACCAGTGGCTGGTCAGTGGGATGTCTCTCTGCGAGCACAAAGGCTTATCAAATGACACTAAAAATAAGTTCAGCAACCATCACATCGGAAGGGAGAACGTGAACATTTTATGTTTGGCGGGCATGTGTGTGCACAAGACGGAAAGAGCGAGCCGGAGCATCCGGGTAGAATCACCTCCATTGTGCTCTTAAAGGACGCTTCAAGAGACCTGAGTGATTGTGTTGGTTCATATCCAGATTTGTAGTACTGCTCCTTACACACACACACACACACACACACACACAGTATATCTATATATACATATGTATCCTCTAGCTTGAATCTTTTGCTCGAGTTTATTTATGTCACTGGCTGGCTGGGTCCAAAGTCACATGCCCATGTATTCATAAATAAAATTTTGTACCTGTGCTTCTGCTTCCATTTTCTTTAAACCCAAAGAAAGCTTTACTCTTAATTGAATACACAGCCGACCTAGTTAGGGAATTGTATTCAGTTACAAAATGTCCTTCAGGTTCACAGATGGTACTGCTCCTGGTAGCTACCGATGTGTGTGCGGGTGACCTGGAAACGATGTGGTACACCCCTCCCTTTCTGCAGTTCATTTAGTTGGACCTTTTCTTTCTGGTACATGACTGTTTATGATACTCAATGCACACCCTTACTAAGAACAATTAGAATGCCTCAAAACTAAGGTTAGTTGGCCGTTGCTTTTTATTTGTGTAATATCATAGATCATACTTATGTTTAGCTGCATGAAAAGTATCAGTGGACCTTTTGTTCTTAAATGGCAAAATACCCTTCTGTAGATCGTAACACAAATGAAGGCTACTCCTGACACCACTGTGAAGTGCTCAGAATGAAAAAGAGGCATCAATTGGTCTACCTACGGACTGGAAAAGTACCAGACATAGAGTCCAAAGACAGATGGAATTTCATGCCACTCAAAAATATGAGCTAGATCGATGTTATGATATGCTGATTGGGCTAACTAGAAACTTCAAAGAGTTTCTTTTTAAAAATACGGTTTCTCACCGAAGAACCAGACCACAAACCTCCCCAACTTTCAACCAGGAAAATAATTTGCTAGAATTATTCCACTTCTGTAAGTGCAATGGCACTTGGTATTTTAGAGATGAATTTACAGTTTCATTTTCTGGACACGATGTCGGTCAAGATCTATTCTCTGGGTACACACAAATGAGTCTTTATCCATAATCCATTTGCATTGCATAAGGTTGCAAAGCAATTAAGTGGGAAATGACTTCTAACTTATGTGTCTACTCTGCCTAGAAAGAAAATTTTGAAGGCATCTATATATATTTCATAACAATGTCTGTTCTTTATGGATTTGATCCATAAATATTTATCTATCTGAAAACTTTGATACTTGGAATGTTTTCCTTAAAGCATTTGGTGCTCCAAGAAGAAACATTTGGTGCTGAGAGTTGCAGTACTGATGTCTCTCCCCAAGTTAATTCTATTTTAGAAATTTATATTTCATTCCAATGAGATGCAGAGTAAAATTTGAGACCTTCCATTAAGTAGGGAACAGCATCTGTCAGCTATAGAGAAGTAGTATTTTGACAAAAATATGAGATTTAAACCCCTATATTTAAAAATGCTTGAGAAAGAAGTGACTTACTGCTATTTACCTTTAAATTTTATCTTAACAATTTCATGAATTATTCAATATTTCCTTTTATAGTGAACTCCTACTGGGTATAACAGCATATCTCCGTGAATATAACAACATAAATATCACTGACCATTGTTTACCACTCACATGTAATATATGTGCTTTTGTTAAAATTAAGGAAAATATGTTATAAAATGGTTAAAATACTTTTTATATCTTAACATATTATTTTTAAATTGTAAGATGGCACAAAGGAGCCTTAGTGGCATAATGGGCTATGAGATGCACTGCTAACCAGCAGGTCAGCAGTTCAAAACCACCAGCCCCTGCACAGGATAAAGATGAAAATTTCTGCTCACATGGAAATTTCCAGCCTCATTGACCTACAGCGGGCAGTTCTATTTGCTTGTTAGGGCCTCTACAAGGCAGAATCACCTCTACAGCTGGGAGCGCAAGGGGAAAATATAATTAGATTTATTTAAAATAATAAAAATTTAAGTCAGCACAAGGATTATGCTAAGCAGTTTTACTGGATTATAGGACAGCCAATCTGATTTAAAAAAATAAAAACGAGAATGGCTAGAAGTAGGCTAATTACAAGGAAGCTCATAAAGAAAAGAATAGAAAATCCACCATTGGCTAACGTGATTGGCTGAACCTTGCCTGCCCTCTTTCACTGAAATGTAATTATATTTTGCCCTCTTGTTCCCTGCCTTGAGTTTGAGCCACAGACTGATCTCTGGACCTACACTCACCTGCAGCCACCATGCCTTTTGAAAAAAAGAATTCTTGTTAGGCTTAGCAATTTGGGGTGCAACAAAAGAGATCAACGGCGGGATTGATTTTGAGTTAGGCATGCATATAGTTAATATTTGGCTTTGTGGTAAAGTAAGCTATCTGTTACTAATTTTTCACTTTGACAGTTATATTTACATGTATTATAAAGCATTGTAGCTGTCTCTTCCACATGTACATTGCAAAACCCTAGTTAACTTTTACTAGACTTTCACAGCACAACATTACTTAGGAAATTTATTGTTGTTTTTTTACTACTAGAAAATAATGGCAGGTGTGTGTGCACAGGAGATAAATATATTTATTTTCTATTTTAATATGAAAGAAAATAAATGATCTAAAACAGAATGATTCTAGTGCATCTGTTACATAGTTCAGCGAGAAACAGATAGATGAAGATGGAAAATGGTGCCTATTTGCAGGTTACCAAGTAAGGAGAGCCAGATTCTAGATTTGGGGTTAGTTTAATCTTTTACTTAACGAGTTTCTACCACGCAGTTCTGAGAAAAGTCTTATTTTAATATAGTGCTTTATTTTCTGGTGGCACAGTGGTTCAAACACACCAGCCATTCTGCAGGTGAAAAACGAGGAGGCTGTGTGTTCCCCTAAACTGGTTTGCAATCTCAGAAACCATCGGAGGTTATCAAGTTTCAGAATAAACTGGACAGTAGTGAATTTTTGCCTATATTTACTAGATTCCAATTTAGTCATTTTGGGGGAAAAAAAGATTTCTTTTTTGGTCTTTTATAATCCAGGATGGAAGCAACACTGTGTTAGTTTTTTTTGTTTGTTTGTTTGCTTGCTTGTTTATAATTTATCTTATTCTTCCACACTTCTTCCAAAAGCAAAAGAAAGTGCATGGTGTAGCATGCAAATTTATTTCAAGAAAGTGCTTGTTCAAGTAGCATGATGAGAACTTGAGGAAGTGAAGTGTGAGAGAGCGAGCTGACTCATGGGTTGGGCAGAATTTGGGCTTGGAAATGTGATGACACCGATTGGATCAGCATCTCCACCATTTCCTGGAGAAGGACTGAAGGTAAAGAAATGGCCAGCTCTGCTAACCATTCTGTAAAGCCAAAGATAAAGGATATTTTAGTATATGTCTATCTCATATTTTTAATGACTAACTATTTGTAAAGCCTGACAATATTGGTGCTGTAAATTGCTGTGCAGTTATAAAGTTGAAAATGAATCACTGTACATCATTTATAATTAGCCATGCAGAGTCCTATTTAGGTAATTTCTTATAGCTAGATTTTGTCAAAGAGGCCACTGATAATATAGTTTCATCTGCTGAAGCATCTCAAAAGGTGAGTAAAATACTCTAAAGCATATGCATGTATCCACTAGGATTTTACTGCCCTCATAAATGTTTCCAAACCATATATAAGATGCTCTAAAATTGTTAAGAAATTGTCACTTTCGATGATTGGCATACTTTCAACACTGTGTTGTTTTGGTCAGGTGTTGTGATATATTCAATATTCTTCAGCAACACCAGGACTCAAGGGCATCAGCTCTTCACTGGTCTTCCTTGGTCAATACTCAGCTTTTGCATGTGTCTGACGGAATTGAAAATACCCTGGCAGGAGTCAGATGGACTTTTATTCTCAAAAGGATGTTGCTTTTTAACACATTAAAGAGGTCTTCTGTAGCAGTTTCCCAGGACAGTATCTCATTTAGTTTCTTTTTAGTTTCTTTTAAAAATCATTTTATTGGGGGCTCGTACAACTCATCACAATCCATCCATCCATCCATTGGGTCAAGCACATTTGTACATTTGTTGCCACCATCATTCTCAAAACATTTGCTTTATACTTGAGCCCGTGGTATCAGCTCCTCATCTCATTTAGTTTATTGACTGCTGCTTCTATGGGCACTGACTGTGGGTCCAAGTAAAAATAAATCCTGACAATTTAGATATTTTCTCCATTTATCATAATATTGCTAATTGGTCTAGTTGTGAGGACTTTTAGTTTCTTCATACTGAGGTGTAACCCATACTTAATTAAGGCTACAGTCTTTGGCTTTAATCAATAATTGCTTCAAATCCTCTTCATTTTCAGCCATCATGGTTGTTCATCTGCATAGTGTAGACTGTTACCGGGTCTTCCTCCAATCCTGACACAATGTTATTCATGTAGCTCTGCATCTTGGATGATTTGCTCAACATACAGATTCAACAATATGCTGAAAGGACATAACTCTGACACCCCCCTTTCAGGATTGTAAACTAGGCTCTTTTCTTCATCTCATTGAGTTTGAGATCTGCTGAATGCACTTTTCCCTTTTGGTTTTCTAATTGCAGATCTTGGAGCATTTCCTGAGCTGCCCTTTGGAATCTTCTCTTCAGCTCTTCTTGTTCAGCATTTCCTCCATTTATTTGAGCTACTGTACATTTAAGAATGAGTTTCAGAAGCTCTTCGGACAACTATTTGGTCTTTCTTTCCTGTCTCTTGAATGAGTTTTTACTGTAGATATTACTTGTTGATGTTAATCTACAACTTGTTTGGTCTTTGTTCATTAGTGCTCAAAGCATCAAATCAATTCTTAGAGATGGTTTCTAAATGCAGGTGTAACATATCCAAGCTCATAGTTTAGCTCTCATTGACTTGTTTCCATTGTCTTCAGCTACAACGTGTTCTTGCTAATTAGGAAATGATCATCTGTTCTGCAGTTGACACATGGCCTTTTTATGACTGATAATATTGAGCTGCTCCATTGATTCTTTCTATAGCATTGTGGATTTGATTCCTGTATATTCTACATGGCCAGGTGCTCATCTATAGTTGCCATGAATATTGTTGAACAGGGTATTTCCAATGAATCTGTTATTGACCTTGCAAAATTTTTCCATTCAGACTCTGGTGTCATTTCTATCATCAAATCCAGTTACTTCTTTGCTTCTGATTTTCGGATTCAAATAACCAGCAGAAGTTGGAAAGTATCTCCATTTTTTTCATTAGTGGTTGTTGTG